CAATGTACAATTCCGCGTATAATTCCAACTTCCTTCCCAATCCTGAAGTACATAGCATCTGATGCTTGAAGTAGGCGTCTTACATGCAGCGGTGCTGAAAGTTATACACCAAGCCACATCATTAAATGGCTTAAAGCGAGGCTCTGGTTGTGCATAGAAAAAGGGAGCTGATAATCAGATTTGGTTGACAATGGCAGATAGAGCGCAGTAGGGTAGGTGGGGTGTGCTGAAAAGGGAAATGCAAAAGGGTTACAAGGGTACTTGAAAGCGTGGCGGCGCGCTATTTTCGGTAGCGCAATGCTTGTGACGTCGGTAGTGCATTAGGCTGCCACTGTAGTATCGGCAGCGACGGGTGAGGGCTCTGTCCGACACTACGGATCCGTGGATCTTTGTTAAACTTGTTCGCGTGCTCTTTCCTCGATTCAACTTCTACAGATACAAGCGATTAATTAACTAACACACGATCTCTACATACCTGACTTACCCTACCAAGTACATAATCTGATTTCATTGATCGAACGACGCAGATCTCAGCCGACCTTAGCGTAATGAAACCTATGATTGTATTTTAATTTGCAATTTTTCCCCTAAACACCTACCAGGTACCTATATGCTATACCTACTAAAGCTCTCTCCCCTGTTTTATGAATAATCCATATTTTAGACCCTTGCCGATCCTCCTATCCATGATCTAAATGATCTAATCTGCCATGTCCCGTTGAAGATTTCCCGACATTTCGCTACCGACAGTCGCCGCGAACGTTGTCTCAGCCTCAATGAGCAGTAGTCGCTCTCTCGCAACCGGCGATACGTAGGATCTTCCTAAAATATGCTTCTCCTACATCAGGTCGGCAGCGTCAAAATCGGTGAAGTCGTCCGTTATACAGTAACCTATTCGCCGTCGCACGATCGAATCCTACCCTCGCCTGACGTCCTACACTTACGCATTCGTAACACTTCTCCCATTCCTCTACGAGCCGCCTTCGTCCACGGTCCCTATACCCTTTGCGTATCCGCGTACCCGGCCCACTTTGATCCCAATGTCAAGTTCGAGAATCCCCGGCGTTATGGCGTCCCTGAATTCGAGCCTATGCTCAAGGCTGGAGGCACATGGACATGTCAGTTGATTGTGCCGGACAACATTCGCGAGAGCGCTGGAACAGGGGCCGCGAAGGGCGATTTTGGCCATCATAATGCAGGCGAAGAAGCTCCAAGGAGTGCGAGCTGGGTCGTGGAGATCGCGAGTCAGGTTATTTTCTCCGCCAGTGCCGCCGTGGGATATGAAGTACTGCTAGCGCGAGACGAGAAGAGTATGAACTTAGGCGGTGTGCCAGTCATAGGCGGCCAGGCTCAAGTTCCACAGCCTGGAAAGGTGACCGATTTCCAACAAAGCTTGGGCGCAAAGGATGGCCACCACCCTGCGCAGCCGCGAGGTGTCTTCTCGCGAGCTATCTCTCTGAAAGTGGAAGACACAGCAAGTATCTGGAACACCCCTCCGCTCCCTGGCTGTGACGACTGGGATCATAGGAGACTGAAACACTCAGGCATAGAAAAGGCAGTCACCAGTATTGCGGAACCGGCGGATGCAGAGGAAGATAAAGCAAAAAGACGGCCACCGAAGAAAGTTCATTTGGTTGTTTTGACTCACGGTCTACATAGCAACCTAGGAGCTGATATGCTGTACATGAAGGAGAGTATCGACGCAGCTGCGAAGCAGGCAAAGATCGACGCAAGGGCAAGGAAAGCACGTGAGAGGGCTAAGAATGATGAGCAAAACGGCACTCAATCAGAGCCTAGTGAAAGACAGCCAGACAGGAACTATAGCGCTCATGGTGATGAGGACGATGAGTATGATGAAGAAGAGGTCATAGTACGAGGCTTCTCGGGAAATGCTACTCGTACAGAAAAAGGCATTAAATTTTTAGGGAAGCGCTTAGCACGATGGGTGCTTTCCATAACATATCCAGATCAGCCATTTCTACCGTTGACGAAAAAGGCAGCGACTGAGAGCATTGCCAGTGCTTTCAAAAGTGACGACGGGAATAGCGAGGGAGCTGGGAAACCAGCACATAAGCATAGCACTATACACAAGGGTCAGCACCATGGGGATGATCGCAAATTCCAGATTTCCAGCATCAGTTTCATAGGACATTCCCTAGGAGGCCTTGTTCAGGTATATGCCATCGCATATATCCAGAAGCACTCACCTCGATTCTTTGACCTGATACGACCGATTAATTTCATTGCGCTCGCATCCCCGTTATTAGGCCTCAGCAACGAGAATCCGCTATACGTCAAGTTTGCCCTCGACTTTGGCCTCGTTGGCAGGACAGGACAAGACTTAGGTCTTACTTGGCGGGCACCAACTCTTGCCAGAAGCGGTTGGGGCGCATTAGTCGGGACCCTTGGGGAGAGTGCTCATAAGAAAGTGATGGGAGAAGTACAACCGGAGTCGAAACCCCTTTTGCGTATTCTACCTACTGGCCCGGCTCACACCGCCTTAAAGAAATTTCGCAATCGGACTCTTTATTCCAACGTAGTAAATGATGGGATTGTACCATTACGCACGAGCTGCTTACTGTTTCTCGACTGGCAAGGACTTGGCCGAGTAGAGAAGGCACGCCGGGAAGCCGGCTTGGTAGAGACAGTCGTCGGCTTCGGGTGGGCAGAATTGACAGGTACTAACATGTCGTCACGAAGAGGTCCCTGGTCGCCAACCACGGAAGAAGCGCCATCGTCATCATCACAGTCCGGCGCCGAGTCTGAGTCGTCTCATAGTGACCCTCATGAAGTGCCTCAGCCTTCGACTAACGCAACCGTAGAGGATGATAGGCACAGCCTGAACCTTGCTACTCCTCAACCGGAGACTAGGGGGACGACCCAGAACTCTCAGACGAACAATGACTTTCCGTTTTCTGGGTTTTTCAACTTCTTCAAGTCCAGCGAACCGGCGACTCGTAAAACGCCACCCCATTCCCCTCGGGAAAGTAAGATCTACCAACGCAGCCAGACCTTGAAGATAGACGCAGCTGCAGATTCAGCATCGTCAAGTAAGTCGAGGGTGTCTTCTGGTCATGAGCTTAGCGAAGACCCAGCACATGAGGTTTCTGCTCCCCCGCGAACAACGTTCTTTGAGTCCGCAGGCGACCTTCTAAATCCCAAGTTACCAACGGTGGAATACCTCATCGACCCTTCAAAGCGCCCGCGAACCATTTTCCATGATCGAGTCTATCATCCATCCGATATCCCACCACCACCACTTAAAAAACGCACAACTAAATCCCTCGCTTTCCGGACGAAATCAAGCTCCACCAACGCCTCTACATCTTCCAAGGAAGGAAACGGGAAAATTTCTTCACCAAATGCAACACTCCCACACGCTGATTCTGAAATGTCTACTCGTGACTATGACGACCACATGCATACGGACCCCGATAGAGATGTTGACGATATCATCGACAGCTCTAGTATGAAAGTTGAGGAGAAGATTGCCCGAGCATATCACCGCGGTTTGAGTTGGCGGAAGGTTCTGGTCAAACTAGAACCAGATGCGCACAACAACATCATTGTGCGTCGCAAGTTTGCAAATGCTTTTGGTTGGCCCGTCGTAAAACATCTAGTCGATGCCCATTTCAGCGACAGTGCAGCTGCGCGCACACCAGACGAAGCCGAGCAAAGCGGAGACCGGGCAAAATCAATGAATCAGGCCCCTGACAAGGCTGGTGCTGAGACGTACACACAAGAAGATGCCCAACCACAGAAAGGTACAAATTCTCAGGATAACAAAATAAATCACAAACACACTACGAGCGAGGCTCTTGAGGCTACAGACGCTGTGCCAGATCTACCCTCACTGGCCCAGGAGAGGAAATCGGCTCCTTACAGTTCAAGGGATTCACCTCCTCGCCCATCGTATGAGAGAATCGACTCCGCAAGTTGGAGTGATCGAGATTTTGCTGACAGCGGGGACGAGAGTGAAATAGATATGGGCATGACATACGGTAGACATCATGATGCCCAGGTATCTCAGGGGCACAAGGACAATGACACGCCGAGAGCCACCAGTCCTGGCTGGAATTGGACAGAGAAAATCGTAGGTAAAGGCGCCGGAAAGAGAAGAAGGGGCTCGAAGAGTCCTCAGAGTCCCGTGAGCCCGGGGCCTGAGAATGAGGACGGAAGTGCGCCTGAACACCAGGACGTACAATAGTGCTGTAACTTCTTTTAAGATCGTTGCTAAAATATGGGAATGGCTTGCTAGTTTGAGATGAGCGGTCTTGATAGAGTATAAACGTATTGGCATAGCATGGCATATTAGATTTTGGGCAGAGCAGCATTGAAATGGTTTGATCAGGGCTACTTTAAGACGGCATGAGTGTCGCGTGGGTATTAGCGAGCGACATACATATATCTTATATACCATACACATATATACCTCTTGTAGTAGTTATAAGTATTTCGCGATTATATCATATTAATACATTTTTAAATCTAACGTTCATTTATAGCTAGTCACTTTCAGTATTTCAATGTGTGCTCTCGTACCCGAGTTAAATTCATGCAGGAATTGATCTAGGCGGAGTCGTATTCAAAATACATATTCCTCCCTACAATACCACAGACAGAAGGTGAGATTTTATCAGACCTTTAATCAATAGAACACACGAAGTATGTCCATATAAATACTCCTTCTCATTGAAGCCGATCAAACGTGGTGTGTCATGATGATTTTCTACAAGGTCTGGGGTTAACGTGATGGGCGATGTCGAGCATATCAGCTATATCTCCGAACTACTTGTATTAAGCACTTTTAAGGGACGACTATCGTTGAATCTCTCATTTCCTCACTCTCTATAAGGCAGTTTCCTTCAGCGTAGTAGGTTAGGTACCTACATAGGAGGTAGTTTCCCGAAAACTGTTTGCCACTCAAAAGTGAGCCAGTACCTTCCTTAATATACTTTAATGACAAATGGCGCTTTCAATCATAGAAAGTGCTATAGATGGCCGTACTAGAGTAATGGTAACTCGCCAGTTTTACATTACACTTGTGCACTGGAAATTCCTGGTTCGAGTCCAGGGTACGGCAGAATTTTGTCTCACTCCCTTTTTTTTGTCGTCCACCAGAATGCCTAGGCTGCCTTCGGTAGTTAACTACTTCAGATATTAGATGTTTCAAGGTATAATGTTAGATCATGTTTGATATAACAAGCTTGCGTCTCTAGGTACACTTGGCTCAAATTGTCACTCTTTGCTATTGTTATAATGGATAAAGGGTAGGTTACATATAATGGATGCGATCAACTTATCCTCTGTGTCATTCCCTTGACCTTTTACTCTAATTCCTATTTCTCGCTCCCCAGTTCACTATTTACTCATTGTTCACATATCAAGAATAAAAATGAAACTTACCTGGCTATAAGGTAGTCTATTCACGCACGATAAGCTATAAAATGAAGCTCTATTTTGGAACGTTCCAGCCTTGAGAAGCCAAGAGCATGTTCACTAAGCCCATCTTAAGCGAGACCCTGTGAGATCTATAGGGCCTGGAGAAATAAATTAACCCTAATATAAAGGAAGGCAGGGAGATATTGCGGTATGTGAGATATGTTGCCTATCCTTAGCCTGTGTTCTTAGGAGTCTTGGTTCTGTTTTAGTAGAAGCAACAGCATTTAGCTACTATTCATCAATGTCAAAGCATTCATATACCAAGCCATAGCTGGGACATTACGACTGCCAATGCTTCTTTAATTATCAGGACTATGTTGGGATCATAAAACACATTGTGTGTTCTGAGCATAGGCTCAGGAATCTCAGCACTGCGCCTTGTATATTATCTAAAAACTAAGATACAGACTACCTATGAACAAGGCACTGAAGCTCTGCATTGACCGAACCTTTGCGTCTCCCATGATCGGGTTGGGTAGGCCTTGGTTCATATTAGAGCAGTCTCTTATGGTACGTGTGTGCCAATTAGGTACCTAATGTACCTCGTGTACGAGTTAGCTGCTCTTGGAGCTAGTTCCTTTACTTCATCTCGAACCCCAGCCGTAACAAATAACCCCTTGTGTCCTTAAAGTAGGCAGCGTAGATCTGATGCTGTTTCCATTACGTGTTACTATGGATACCCCCAGGGCAGCCGAGATCTCTCTTACGACCTATACAGAACCGCCAACTTACTCTAAGCCGCAGTGCTAGACATTTTTGTTCACCTCTGATGCCGATGGAAAGCTGTGCGTGACCCCCTAGGTTCGACTAAATGGGGGTCAGAGTGGGAAAAGGGGGAACGGCAGATAGAAGGTACTGGCAATGAAGGAATGAAGGAGCCGTTCTATCTCGACTGAAGCCAATCTCGATTGAGTCGCCCGTCCAGCCTCCTTAACCTACCTATCTGGAGTCCCGTCGTTAGCAAAGCATATTGCTGACCCTGCATCTCGGCGATATACTCTATGACACCCCATGTTAGGAGTTGGTTCATGTCGATGGTTTTCCTAGTTGTATCGACTACTTAGTAGGCATTATTGTTCGCACGGTAGAGCTGTCCATCCGGACATCGCGATCTTTGAACGGTGCCGTACATTTCCGGGCCCGATATCCCGTCCCAGATCCATCGTTTAGATGCTTCCTGAAGTCAAGGCTGCCGTGTTCTTTTCACGTAATGTGAAGCTTGTTAGTGCTCGCTTATTTCGATGTTTCCGTCGTGCAGTCTCGAGTTGAAGCCGTGCATATATGTGAGTAACCCAATCATATGCCGGTTATGAAACAGATGGAACACTAGGGCTATATCAAATAGCTAGATGTAATAAAGCGAATCGTTCTGCACTCAATAATGCCCCTTCATTGCCGTCATCGATCGATGGAATTGAAGCAACTGTGGTGTATTTGCTGAATCAATAGCAGTCAAGGCTCCTAAGGTTGTCGAAGCGGCCGGCTCCATCTTTAATCTCTTCCACCGGACCGGCGTTCCAGTGGTGCAGCGGTGGCGCAGCACCTTTTCTGGTTAAGCCAAGAAAAGGGATCTCGGTGACAATACGGGAACATCTCATACTACGACGGCATACGCTCGGTCGACGCTCCATGAGGGACGATCCAAGCATGGGATTGGCGTTCCTTGGTGCGCCACAACTCGGCGCGAGCCGATATCATATGTAGGCTTGTAGGGGTATCCCACGCCGTGTAACTAAGCACTCCGGCCGCCGAGAAAGATTGAAGGATCCATCCCGTTTGCAGTTGCCATACCCCTAACTGGCAAGCTTACGCGTACCGGCCTCAATTTCCAGTTGCGGTGGTGTGCGTAGAGACATCGGAGTAGCGAGAGAATTCTCCCCGGCAAGGGAGTGGATGTTGCTCCTTAGGTCCGGGACAACTAATACATCGTCCGCCTAGCTACAGAGCACCGGCCTCTTGATCTAACTCAGCAGCAAGCCAAGGGATAAGCGGGACGCAACATTGTGGAAGCATTTGTGAGATTGTTACACGACAGAGGGGAACTAAAATTATATAGATGAACATCCGGTGGCGACAGTAATCAGGAAATCCAGCACACAGGGTGAGGAGAAGGAATAGGATACCACATCGACAGGCTTCCCCTCAGCTATCTTGACAAAAGTCCGAATCAGCCGTTGTGGAGATGTAGGTTCTGGTAGGCTCGCATCTTCAGGGCTAGCATGTGAGATATATTGCGGCTCGCTACAAGCTGGTATACCTGGGGATCAGATGCATAACTATGCTCACACCAAACATGGCCAAGCCTGCGTATATCGGCGTATCTCGTCGCCCTGCATTGACGATGCAGCAGAGTTGGGTGGACGAGGAAGTAAGGAGTCGAAGAAGGTAATAAGATAATACTTAGCCTTTGCATTGACCGAATGCAAGCCGACAAATTAGGTACCTCGCTGACGGCATGTGAAGTCGATGCAGGCACCTACATAGGTACCTAGGTAAGTAGTTCTCACTTCGACACTCGGATTGAAACGGCTTCATCCTTATTCCTTTCCTCCCGAATCTAGCATTACGAGCCTCTTGCTTTTTTTCTTCCTCAATCCCCCGATGCACCTACCCGGCCGATAGCAATGGAAGCTGAGCCCGTAGGGTATGATGCTCGGTATGGTTCACGCCGATCCAGATTCCAAACCATGCAAGCCAAGGAGCCGGGTTAAGGCTGGGCAGCCTGGAACTTCGTTTGAGGTACCTGTTCTAGCCCAGTCATGCCTGCAAAATCTCTTTGATTGCCGGCGGGCGTCTTCCCTTACATCGTCGATTCTTGGCTCGACGACAAGGCTGCAATATATACAACTGTTGATGTCATAAAGTGTCTTGTTAATTCTCGATCGGGAATGAAGCCAAGGATGGGTCGTCGCTCTAGCCCCTTTGCACCCAGCCTAGGGAAATACTAAGAGGATACTATAATAAGACTAGGCGCTGATGGCGCTGATAAGGAACCGGTCTAGCATCATGATGGGACTGGGTTGATTACTGGGTAAAGAACGAAGACTCTGTAGGATCACTCGCTATCAAGGAAGTAATCTTTCCGCGTGCCTGAAGGGTTCATATTCTACGCTGCGTGTAAGCTTGCGAGATTACATATGTAGTTGTTTTTGGCCCTGGATATTGGCCAATGGCGGACCGGAATGGTGACATGATCGTCGATACATATTGCGGTGGAGGAGGTTTCTATTTAACCCCGATTGCTACGGTGTATGGGTTCGCTATGCCTTATCTAATGCGAATCTCAAGCGCCAGGGCTCATTGAAAGTCTATTATGTTCGAGACGTTTCTTCCAGCTGGGTTAGTTCCGGTATTTCGTCAGAATTATGATAATCATGATGACAAGATCCGTACTAACGAGTCTTCTGGATCAAAGGAGATGTGCGCAATATTCTCTAGCTATTCCGATAGGAGGTTTAGGCACCAGAGGAACGGCTTGCGCCGCGTCGACTCTAGCAATTTCGCTTCATCCGTTCCGAGCTAGAACTTTCATAGCCTATGCCTCGTCGCGGAGCGAGTACCTAATGGTAAGGTCGTTATCCCCTGGCAACATTGAAGTGTTCAGCTTGCGCGTCCACGCTATTCTGCCCTCTGATATTGTATCGTATCCCACGCCAGCTGGATGTAGGGGGTAGTAGCAAGACCTCCCCCGCGGATGTGCAGTCAATCAAATAATTAATATCTGGACTCCGTGATGAACCATTGATAAGGCGCATATTTCCCCCACAACATTCAATGGACTAGCCGAGATCTCCAACCCCCAATTGAACCCCCATTCGCTTATGCAGTATCGAGATTCGAGATAGGATGAATTGATGCCATTACGTCGGCATCCTTGAGGCATGGTCGCCGATAATTTGTAACATAACAAACTCTAATCTACGATGGCTGTGGCCAGGCGAGTGCCGAGCTCGAAATAGCAACAACGTCCTGGGAAAATCGTCAGATTTACTTTATTGAGAAGGATCCGCGAGGGGGACTCCCTCATAGTTGAAGATCCTTGCGATCTCATCGTTCTCGCCAATCTACCTCATACATAAAAAAACAAAGACCAAAAAAATTGCAACCCAAGCGGTCTGCTGCTATGTTATTTGCAGTTCTGACCCTTGTTGAGGGTCCAGCATAAACATAAGCCGGCAAGGACAAATTCATTCCAATATGTAATACAAATTCCTTGCAGGCGCCACAATTCGTGAACACCAATAGGATTGGGCCCTGCTAACACTGATAAATAGGGACAGGAGACTGTTCAACCCACGTACGATCCCAGCGCCGATGATTATCAAGATTTGAAGTTTGACACTCCGGGGCGCCAGGCCGAAATGCCGGTTAGGGATGTTGAGGAGAAGCGTTATCTATTCATAGGTACCTCTCACGGTTGAAGCAAAATCAAAAGATCGCAAGCACAAACGAGAATGTCGCTTCGCAAAGTCGAAAATAGCCAAGCCCCGGAGATCCTAAGCTACTGGTGTTACACAACGCAGGACTCGTCTGTGCTTATGTAAATAACCGTCCAACCGAATCGATGATCTAACCTGTTGCTGAAGTTGTCGGCTCTTTGCACACCGAGATGAGAGGCAAGGTACATGTGATCCCCCCTTT